TAGACTGGTAGAGATTCGTTCTCGGTATCAGTCGGGAATTTTGCTCCCTATCCGGGCGAACCTCTCGCAGATAGCCAAGATGCCGATGTGGCCGCCGATGAATAAGACGAGGATGGCATTTCGCCCGAAATCCTCTTTATCGGCCTCCCAACATGCAAGCCACACTCCATGCTTTTACCCTTCTTTCACAGAAGTACACAACCAGTGACGTCACAGGGCTGTTTTGGCCGCGCCAAGATGGCCGCCAATTTTAATCTCAGCCGGTCAACTTCGACGGGTTAAAAATGTACTTTCCGCTATGCGTTGGCCCAAAAAAAGTACACAGCGTTTGCAAATAACGTTCAAACTCTATTATATTGCAAAAATCTCGGATATGAAAATTACGTTTCAGTAGCACTTTAAGTGAAGGAAAATTAAATAATCGCGAGTGTTGTGTGGTAAATATTCTATCTTGATCATTGAATGAAGGACAGTTAAATTAGAGCAATGAAAAGAGTCACTTGATCAATGAAAACCTCTACCTTCCGTGAGGCGACACGCCGGAAAGCAAAAGGCAGTCGACCGTTGAAAGGTGTTGATAGGCCTCTGCGTCTCGTACCATTCGCTAGCGCTTTTAAATCTTCTACCCTCAAAGTTAAGCTCTTATTAGGATATCTCTTGATGACTTTCCTTTGCGATGTGATAATAAGGATCAGCTTTGAGGTGTCATAATTCTCCATCTGTATGTTCTTGAGGTTTGGCAAAGCCGGATGAGATTGTGTTACAAAAGACAATATTTTTTTCTGTGTGCGCGCTATTTTCTATGTTTCAGAGTATAATTCTCTTTTGAAGTAATAACTCCAGATATACGTTTCTCAAAACCCTCCGATAGGTTTCCTCTACTCTCGAAGGGTATTTTGAAACTCTGTACGTTTTTAATAAACGGGGAGCGCGACAAATTCGTTCTTAGCAGGCGTGGCATGGGGCTTCTCCTTTTACAAATCCCATATTTACGCTCGGTGGAAAACGTTCGCCTATTACAAGGTCTCTCTCTCTCTAATATGCGTTTGCATGTCAAGGGTCAATTCACAGTTGAATGACTCGCGTCAAGGAATAACTTATGACTTTAAAATTATTCATCCCGCCATCGGTTGTGAGTGTAACTGTTCCCATTTGCGTCGAGATTCTTAGGCAGATTACAGTTTCAAATCTTTCTAAATAATGTCAGTTGCCTCTTAAGAACGAATTCGTCACGGAGGAATGAAAAGGAGTCGCGCAGGCCCGTCAAAGTTTTAACTTTCGAAGGAACGGCAACAGACAGTGAATCCACTTTACAATCCACGTATATTCACGTTATCTCGCTGCCACCAAAGAGGTTCACTCCAACGCGTCAAGATACCAATGACTCAATTTTTCTTTTATGACCGTCATGCAACGCAATCAGAGTGCACCCACCGCCTGCTATCAGCCCATAGTGCCCGTCCGCGGAAAATACCCGGATGGATAGCACTCATACGTAAAACTTTTTGAATGGTTTGACGGCCGCGAAGTTAGGCAGATCGGGAAAGCAGTGACGTTTCAATTCTGACAGACATAACGTATTATTTAGCCAATGTACGGTTGCGAATTACTGAAATTTGTGACAGGCTGTGCGCATGAATAAATATTTGATTGACCTGCATTTAGGGGGTTTGACTGTTTTCCAACTGGCGCGCGGAAGAAAATTTAGTGGTCAACAAGACAATAGAGTGTTTATGTCTCGGAACTATCGGTCTGATAGTTGCTCGACAGAAACACTCTATTCTTTAAATAATGCCCGCATTTGATCGGTGATAACTAGTTATGTCATAAAAGCAATTATAGAACACATGGCCTAAATCCCTCAGTTGTAACTTACGTCGTAAACACCTCTTTCATCTTCATAAGTCCTACAATTGATAAGGGATACTAATATTCATAAACAGCAAAGCATTTCGTCAGTTTTAATTAAAATTCTATGTTAACATTATACTATCTCTAGTGCATTACACTAACACAGTACGCAAACGGTAGCAAATTCTTACCTCTGTTTCCCAACAGCGCCTGAAAAAAAGAACAAAGGGAAAAAGACAAATGATGTGCACGTGGGTTAAAAATTTTCTTTTGACTTTTGGTTAATAATGACTCGTACAGTCAGGTCCCCTAACATAGAAAATGAATTTTTACTTACCTTTCCTGTGTAGCCAGATTATGTAAATCACTAGAAGAAGGATTATGAAGGCAAGAATCCCAATTATGGCAAACAAGACGTTGTTAGATCGGCAGTTACATTCCTCAGGACCTAGAACGATTGGTTTTATAAAGGTTAATGAAGTTACATTCATATGATATTTACACTGATCCTGGTTGATATACTGCTCTCATTATGGGGCTTGGGATTGTGACCGAAAAAACGTCAACTCTGATTGGCCAGGTGTTGAGGAAAAGTGAGGCGTTACTCTACTATAAAAATTAGAAAAAGCAAAGTTTTGTTTAATTAAACAACAACAACAACAACAACGAAAACGACAACAACAACCAAGAAATATATTTCTCTCAGATATGATTTGTTTGATAAAAAAATATAGAAGTATAATTAGAAAAAGTTTATCGAAAGAATACTTGTAAACAGTTTCTTTGTAATATTTACCCTTTGTTGTGCTTCCCAAGCTGTCTCTGGGTATAAAAACTTGTTTAATTGAGTCCGGATCGACTTTAAAAACTCCGAATTTGTCTTGCCTTGCAGTATCCGACAGGAGGGTCAACAGATGACTCACGACTACACTTTGATTGAGCCTCATCATGAAGTCGAGAACAACACTGCCACACCTAGATAAAGGGGGAGCATTACGTACCATTACTTATTTAATATTCCGTCCTTTGCAATTGGTGACTTTAAGGTGTTAAATAATTTGACATTTAACTTGAGAATTATTTTTGATATTATAAACCAAGCTTCATGAAATTAATTCCATGCCATTCTCTATCAATCTATTGCTGTGCATTAAACAAAATTTTCCTCAATTGTCGATTATTTTCATTAAGTAAGACTTGTTAGAGTAAGATAACCAGTTTAAACGCTGAAATATGCCAAATTAAGTTCCCCCTTCCTAGAACTTAAATTTTCGTCAGCTGTTATTTAAGTGTAGAAAACAAAATGTACCTTACCTAGAGTTTACAGCGTTAGCGGATGAGCAGCCAAACCGAAAGGCAATTCGACAAGCCTAAAAGGACATATAAAGAAAAACATGTATACACAACTGCTTGTTACCTTCAGAAATTTCGTGATTTTATTTAAGAACAGATTGATTGAGATTCACTTTTTATGATAAATCTTTTCGCAGTATTCCATGAACTTCAGTATATGGATCAATTATAAAATTTCTCACCATTTCTGGAAATTTTGCAGCGACTTCTGAACGTCTGCTACAGTTCCCCTGTATTGTCGCTGTCAGGTAAACTTCTGTGCTTTCTGAAGCGAAAGAATAGCCGTGCCTTTTACATTTACAAAAAGCATAACGAGCCTTGATGCACTGAAAAAAAGTCTTGAGAGTTGGTTCCATCTAACAATAATTCACTCAGAATATTGTCGAATATTTCGAGCAAAAGTCGTCGTGACGGAGTGTGCTATTACATGCATGTTCGAGAGTAAACTTAACGCAGGCATAACCATGAACACGTTACGATTAGCCTGGTCTATAATGTTCCATTACTTGATATAGAAACTTTTTGCATGTGTAAGTAGGCTCACAGATGGATTGTATCATAGTTTCCTTAACGGATATTATAGTTCTACTACCCCTCTTGGAAAATAGTTTCGCAATGCCACATTAATCAAGCAATTTGTGTTTGAAGATAGCAAGCATTTTTATGACTCAAAATATCCATCGAACGAGAGCCGGAAGGATTCCTCAGAGATATAAAAAGAACACTTCTCTATATGATTATTTTGTCACTCATTTCATTGATTGTATACAGAGTTTTGCTCATAATGATCTTTTGAGTCGGAACATGACACCCTTTATGACTCGCATGCTCTTACATGTTCGTATAAGATGAAAGGTAATTAGGGAATAGAAATAAATTTGCAAACAATTTTTCGAATCTCGATATAGTCTTTGCTGACTGTTTTTGCGAGTCTGTAGTCCTTCGCTAAGTTCCAGACCCTTAGTAACTTAATTCACTCTTTTATTCAAACTCATTTTGTAGAACATCAGACCGTAGAACGTGCTATTTTGATAAAAATTGTTTCGAACGGTGTTTAAAAGAACACTAATAAAAAAACCATTTACCTGCGGGAGTTGTTTGGAATGGAGTGGAAACTGTACTCGATGCTGGTTTGACTGGAGAAAACAAAAATACGATCTTTATATGATCGACGTGAGATTTTCAATTTTATACTTACCTCAAACCATACTTACCTCAAACCATACTTACCTCAAACCATACTTACCTCACACCATACTTACCATACTTACCTCACACCACTTAATGATAATTACAATATCTCTGCCGGAGGGTCGACGCATCGAATTTGTTTCAGGGAGGTCTAAAACTGTTATCATTATTAATTATATAATTATCATAAAAATTAACATTGTTATCACTATTATCCTTATTGCTATTATCATCATCATCACCATTATCATTAAAAGGCGTCCATTAAAAATTGTAACAGAACTACAGAAAGGTTCACAGAATCTAACGGCAAAGCCTATTTTTAAATATTAAACTCACAAGGACAATTTAGTCCCAGTTAAAATTGGAATAATAGCTTTTCCTTAGTTTTAAAGGTATCGATGCAAGGGAACTGTTTAATATAAGTTTTGAAATAAAATGTCAAGTGGCGACATGTCAAATGCAACTCGAGTTGATATTTTGAGACGGGGGCCAATATGTTCCTCTAATATCAACAGCAAACGCGTTTCCGTGTGATGAAAACATTTTGACACACTTTTTGAGCAATAAAAATTGTGAAAGTTTGTCAGGGTATCCAGAGTGTATCAGAGAGACTGTAAGATTGTGATACTTGAACTTTCGCCGCTTGAAGCAGTCAACCGGTTACAAGTTAACCGTTAGGAAGCTGGTTATGATGCGGGAGAATATGGTTGCCGAAGTGTGTCAATATTCGATGTCGTGTGAGTACGTTTGATGATTTAAAATATATGTGATGTTGTTCAATACATTCGATAAACTTGTAGCAAAATTCGGTAAATTCACCTTGATATTCATTCGATTATTCATGCAATATTCATTCGATAATTCATGCAATATTCATTCGATAAGACATGCAATATTCATTCGATAATAAGTCATTCCATAATTCATGCAATATTCATTCGATAATTCATGCAATGTTCATTCGATAATACACGCTATATTCATTCGATAATTCAAGCTACAGTCATTCGATATTATCACGTGCCTCGTAGCTACATGACGGCTTGCCCAAGTCTACAGCACTGGTTGTCCTTCTTTTCATTTTAGTAAGTGTTGCCACCAGTAGCGGTGAATCTCGCAAAAGTATTCGCGAAGCTCAAGAAACAAAGGCTGTCGTTCATTGTTAATAGTATCGGCCATGAAAATAATAACTGAAAGAGCCACTTCAACACCATTGAGTACATTAGCTACGATAGGATGTGTTAGTTCTTCAGAATCTATCTCACAACTATCTAGTAAATTGAGCAGGCTAAGCGCCAAAGACTCCCATTCAATTTGTTCCGCCATTTTAGACAACCAGTAGCCAAGCCTTCTATCCTAAATACGGAAGATGGGTCACGTGCATTATCGAATGAATATTGCTGGAATTATCGAATGAATATCAAGGTAATTTATCGAATTTTGCTACAAGTTTATCAAATGTATTGAACAAATTCACATACATTTTAAACCATCAAACGTACACACGACATCGAATATTGTAAAAACTATCGGAGGGAGAATATATTTGAAATTTTTTGTGAAATCGAACGTGTACTTTTTATTTCAAAAACGTAGACGATGGCTTGTTTTTGACTAAAATACTATAACAGGGTTATTTGTGAATGCAATTGTCATGCAGTGATGTGAATTCGGAATTCAGAATGAAGTGCAACAAGAATTTGAATTTTGACCCTGAAAACGCGCCATAAATATATAGAAGAACTCAAAACTTCGCTCAACGTTTCACAAACAAATTGTGTTGAAGAATTCAGAAATTAACGATTGAAAGTCACGTTGATTAACGTAATCGTTAACTACAACTACCTCTCGTTTTAACTTTCTGAGTTACTTTATGTGAAGGCTTATTAAATAACAAATCGTTTTCGGCTGCGTTTCAGTCTTTTTATAAACAAATTTAGTACCACAAAATTTATTTCGAAATTGATTTTTGCCGAGAAACCAAAGTGATTTGAGAGCGAGAGAGAAGAAAGAACTAATATTATTTATCGCCAAAAGGTCGTGACCGAAGTCTTTCCTCAAAAACTCTGCTCAGCAGGCTAAATGAGATATATTTGTGAAAAATTGCAACGACGCTTGAGATGTTCTGCAAGAAGCATTGACTCAAGCGAAACGGATACCACCCGCCGTGAGCGGGCCGGATGGGGAGAATACTGCTCGCTCTGGGAACCAATCAGATTGCAGGATTCGTTGAATACCGCCCGCTCACGAACTGAGAAAAGAATAATTAGAGTTATTTATCGGCTGAAGGTCGTAGTTGAAATCTCTGCTTACGAATGCTGACCAGCCAGTAAAACAAAATATATTCGTGAAAGTTTGCAACGAAGCTAGGGGTGTACTAGGCGGCTAAACACGCAACGGATAGGATACCGCCCGCTGTGAGCGGGCCGGATGAGAGAATACTGCCTGCTCTCGTAACCAATCAGATTGCAGGATTTGCAGATTACCGCCCGCTCACGAATTGAGAAAAAAAAGTCTTATCTTTACTTTAGAATGTTGAGGCGGACCTGAGTATGCTGCGCCATTCGAAAACTCAGTTTCAGTTATCAGTAATAGCACAATCATGTACTAAAACCTATTCAACTCACCAACCAGTAGTAACAAACTGATAGTTGTATTTCCCAGTGCATTTTTCGCAAAACAGGTATACCGTCCTTCTTCACTTGAAGAAGCATTCTGAACCTTCAAAGTCGAGTTGATGGCAATTTTATTGCAATCGGCATGATTTCCTTTGTACAACGTGATGACTGCAGGGGGGTTTCCAATATCCACTGGGCAATCAATAGACCAGTCTTCTCCAGACTTTAATCTAATGGTTGCGCTGGAATAGGTGGCTGCTGGTTTATCTAGATTAGAAAAGGTAAGATAAAGAAGTGAAGAAAGATGTTATTGAATAAGATAAACTAAACGAGCAAACAGTTTAACTGACAAT